CTTTTGGTTTACTGCACACAAATAATTAATGACCATAGAGAATATTGATATTTTATAAAGTAACCAAATTTATTTTTACATATTTAATTTGAGGACCATTTTCAACTGGATGATACTTAACAAAACATCGTGTGATCTGTTATTTTTCAACGGGTAGAAAAAATCTACAGGAATCAGTAAAAATATACAGTGTCAATATTGACTCTCCAGGATGACAGAAAAGCGTAAAAATTGTATTTTATTTGTGGAAACCGACTGTACATAAACTGACACGTGACTTTTTGATTTACAATATAACTGACTATAAAACAGTTCAAACGAAACGACCTTTCAGAGTTTAACCAGAAAGAGATATTTGTGACAATATTTACCTTCGGTACATTTTAAAAATTTGCATTGTTATAAAAGGTACATCAGATTAAGCCATAAATTTATAACTCATCTATTGAAAATTGATTTTATAAACAAAAATATATTTGCAAAATTTTCCCTTCTCATTACGATGCAAATTAATTTTCAATACTGAACTACAAATATTAACTACCATATTAATTTATAATTACTGTGCCTGTATTTTAATAATAAACGTTTTTCAAATATAAATTCTACGAAAATTACTTTGCACTGTTCAAAATTTTGTTACAATAAAGTGTTTGAAAAATGTACTAAAATGTTTAAAAAATCAATCGAGAGCTCCACGAAAGTTCACAGCGTCCAAAACTTTTTTAATTAGTATCGTTCCTGTAATTTGCATTGACTTGCAATTTTAATATTCTCGACTTTAATATTATAACAATGATCAGTTACTAATTTGGCAAATTCACGAATTGCTTCGCTAGTCTGAACAATTAATCTCAACAATATATGTATTCAAAACTAAAAAAAACAATAATTAACCATCACATAATGATTTCAACGATTGAAACCATCAATATATAAGATAAGGATAATTTCATGTATTATGAAATAAATGTATAACTATTTATTTGAATTAATAAAAAAATTTTTCACGTCAAGTCACCCTATTCCCACTTGTACCAACAATGGAAAAACGTTTTATCACAGAAAATCAGAAAATTCTTGGAACCGCTAATATACAAAGTCTGTTGCATGTAACGTTCAACTATCAAAGCGCTGCCATCGACGTAACACTGATCCTTTCTTTTTGGAGTGTCAGGCAGACAAAAGGTTAGCGAAAAAGCTTGACGAGAAAGAAAAAGTCAAGATGATTACTAAAGAGGGTGAACAATGCAGCTACTTACGTATCAAACGATATCAGCAAAATATTGTTACAGAACAAAGAGCAACTGTAATATACACGAAGTATCTTGTATCGCCATGACCTGAACAGCCCTCTCGTGAAACGTGTTCCTTGAAGTCTCATCAGAAAACAATGACACAAGAAAAGCTCTTTTAAATAGCTCTCGAGCACACAACACAGAGGTCGATGAATACACACACACGCACGCACATATACTAGTACGTACGTTCACTTCTGAACAAGCAAAAACCACACGACGGAGAAGAAGCTTAACGACGGGGGAAAATGTCACTGGTTTTCAGTATACAAGCGAAAGGGTTAAAAAAACGGTCCGGAAAATGTTTATTAGCTGGATCGCGATCAACAGACCGATGAGGTAAAAATAAATGTTCGCCCTTGCAGCATATAATCTCGCTTAAAGCAAGGGTCGCTGACGAAAGCAAACATTACTTACGCGCAAACGATGTTAACCGAGCAAACTACATTGTTTGTACCGTAATGGCGATGCAACGATTAACAAATATGTCGTTCGATTGTTGGAGCTGCGGAATTTCTTTTAGACTTGTCCATCCGATGAAAGACAAGGTTTGTCTGTGACGTGAATCGCTAAGAAAAGAAGAGAAATCCTGAAGGGAGCGATAAGAAAATGTTCCACCATATTGATCGAAATCGGATGTGACGGTGACGCGGAATTCAAATCTATTTGCACGAAGTTTCAAGATGATGACAAAAATTCGAAAGGAAATAATAAATGCGATAATTCTGAGCTTAATTTGTTACCATTTTGAGACAGAAAATATATATTTGCAAATATTCTTTAAAAACTCTTTTCTCGAATTAACTTTTCACTTCCATCAAACGTTACTAGCATCGAGCGTTTAGAACGGTAATAATTTTGTCAGTATAATTTTTGTCAGTGAAAGCAGTGACTGTTTAAATTATATCATGTTTGATGTCATGAATGGATCCACATTCCTGAATAACCTCACATCCATAAAATGATACCACATGAATGGTCCTAAATCGACTGCCCCAGGAGCTCACCAGAGTGCCTCAAATTAGCGCTGATCCAAAATCTATACACCAATCCTAGCAATCTTCCTCAATCTTTTGCACCACCATCCAGTACCTATTACAATCTCCTACATCCATTCAGTCGTAAACTTGTAAATCTGGCTTAAGAATATGGTAAGAATAAACAAGATATAAGAAACGTGTCCAATGATTGTACACCCACATTGTACATCATTTTCTTCATATCATAAACGAACTGTATCACCTTCTTCCTAACTTATCCAATCCATTACAATAATAACTCCAATTTCCTTTCCATTTATTTCTGCCTAACTTTCCTCCAGATGCGAAAATGGACTCACATTCAACAGCCGACATAACCTACATGTACGAAAGTGGTCTGGAAAACACTCCTCTTATCATATAAAGTTCCACTTCTTTTATCATATACCGGTCTCATGATGCGTATTTTATTCCTTTTAAGGTTCTCATGATATACATTTGCCAGAAACGTATATTTGAACAGAACTCGAAAAAGGGTCGAAATGCCATGTGTACAGAAAACACTGACTTATGATGTGGCCATTACTTTCCACAGTTTTATAGGATGCGGTTCGAGGAAGAAGGAAATTGTTAAAAAAATTTTTGCTACGTCAACGATGACAAATATTGTTGCATAATAATAAGGAGGAATCTCTATCTGGAAAATCTTTGAATCATATATTTCATAAAACTTGATTTGTTAATATACGAAATGAAATATGCAAAAAATTTTCGTTGGACAAACAGCATTTATACTATGAACTTTCGGACGAAAATGCGATTTCAGACTCATCGTATACTGATAATAATTTTTAATTAAATTATAGCACTCCGTTCTGGCCAGTGTAATACACGCTCGTTTAACTCGCGAGACTCGGTCGCGTCTTTTTACACGTCGTCACGAACACGCAACAGGTAAATGGTAATACGGTAAGATCGCATGTCGCAATTAATTTTTTAACGGCTCACCCGTGACCCCAACTTTTCCAGAAGTTGAACAGACACGATACATTCGGGCGCAGAACCCGTGAAACTGATGAGAAAACAACCGGTGACGCGTTTCTGGAACTTGTTAAATGCCGTCGACTAGCGATGCCATAAATTGAGCGAAACAGTTCAAAGGAAAGAGAAACGTGTCCTTTCTCGACACGTCGGAAACGACTTGACTGAACGTCCGTTTTCGGACAAATCGTACCACGGTCCGTTGATCGACCGTGCGAGTCTTTCCGTGCCACGATTGTGTGCTACTTACTGCGATTGATACGATCATGACCTCGGTTTTGTTAAGGTTTTGTCACGGGGGATATAATTGAAGAGAGGCCAATGTGCCTCGCTTTAATCGGCACCCTATCGATCGCGTTTAACCAATTAAGTGCGAAATTTTGTTCTAAAAATCTCTTACGTTCAGGCGAGTATTCACAGGGGCAGTTGACTCCATTATAAATTTTACAGGAAATTTAAAACAGTAGAAGAATTACATTTGTATTCGTTGAAAAGTTAACAATTAATGTTGACTGCACCAAAATAAAGTTTTGGGTTATACCAGTAGTTTAACACTGATTTTTAAATTTCCTACTTTCAAAATTTTCAAACGTGTAGTTTACTGATTATTTGTAAGTCACTGATTTGAAACTTCTATTTGTAATGGTATTCGCCATTTCTTCTGTCTTCATCGAATATAGCTGAGATCATTGATAAATAATAATTGAACTTACTATTAATAATAATATGCTGAACTTACTATTTCGTTCAATTTCAATTATTAATAAAATACAGCGATATTTAACTCTCACAGAAATATTACAGCAAACAAACGATTTAAATAAATTCATAAGCATGTGAAATGCTTCTATACCTATGATAAGCTTCTCAAAATAATCCGTTCGCGTACGAATTATGTAAATATGTTTAAAAAGAAATTCCCTATTGTATGCTTGATCGAAGGTACAGAAAATTGTACGTCAACTCGAATACGTGCGTTCGAAGCTAATGCCGTTCGTATTCGAAGCCGGTCACAAAAGCTACATTTTTCCTTCCAGCGATCGTAAAATTTTGCTGAGAGATAATCTACTTTGCAGGTCAAGAGTTTAATGGAAATTCGTTGAACAACAGAGCGTATCGATGGATTAAATTTAGATTATTCAAATCGATATCCGACTTTGATAATATTGGAGCTTTATTAAGTTAAAAAAAGGAAGAATGATACGGAACGAAAGAGAAATCGAGCATTACACGAAATCTGCTGGGAAATATATCAGAATCTTGCGAATAATTGGTGTTTTTTTATTTCAAACTTTGATACTTATTTTAAAATTAATTTTTAATTCAATGTTTATATTTGTATTTTTGCAAACTTCTTTAGATTTAAGTTACATAAAATATATTGATTTCACGGACAGAAATCTTATCAACACAAAAATTGTAGAATAAAGGAATGTGAACAAACTACATGTAACTAATGCTCTATTAATTCTCATTTGAACCTTAAGCACTATATTGATATTTCGTATAAAGTAGACAATTCATAATGTTAAAAAAAGTTCGATCCATGTAAGGGTTGTTTTAACACAAAAATTGAAGAATAAAAGAATGAGTACAAACTACATTTAATACGTTATTAATTCTCACTCGTACCTCAAATATTAAATATTAAAGTAGAAGATATAAAGTAAAAATGTCTTACCTTATGGTGGATAAGCGATATGTTGTTTGGAGTGCGGAATAGTACACCTCAGTCTTCTGTGCGTATGCGTCGACAGCAGGGGGTGACACAAAGGTGTTGAGCTTCTTCGAATTTTGAATTCGGCCAAGCAGAAGGTCATCACTTCGTGCAACACCATTGCAATCGACTTGACTCACTATCGATATCTTCACCGTACGATTGGACAGAGTCACGGTGTCCGATCGACCCCCGTGATCGATCGTTAACATGCGAATAACACAAATCGCGTTCGTTCTTTCGTCGACGTGCGAGTCACTGGATTTCCCGACTCGACCACAGGTTCTGAAACATTTTGTAATGGATACACGGTAATTAATCATACAATTCATTTACATGTAAATCATAGCTTTGAAATGGTAATGTGCTTTGACGTTTTTAATTTCACCGAGTATTAATTCGTGAAAGTTTAAAACACCGCTGCTACAATTTTTGCAAATTTAATTTTTCCAGTATTTATACCTCAATTTGGTTCAATTGCATGTAAAGTGAACGTTCGAAAAGTTAAATGCTACAACGATGATTTTTATTTTACTCGAGTTTAAGGTTTTTCAGTGGCTTGTTAATTTTATGAAACTTGGGGATAATTGTACTTTTTAATTTGATTGCTTGTTTTATGTAACTTCAATACGGTCAAACGCCTTGACGACGCTTTTTACTTTAATCGTATAAACCCGCAGGACCTCAAAAGTATTAAATACCGTGGTAATGTTCCTTAACTCAGAAAATGAAACATCAAAACGATTAATTCCCTTGGCTTTTTACTTTTATCATACATTTTGTAAACCTTCAGAAAATATTCTACATGAAAATGTAATTCACATTTACAATTTAATTTCATCACAATTTATGAAATACCAAAACAGATAACTGTTTGATTACATAGCAAATGAAACCATCAAAATGACTAACTGTTATTTATTTCCATTAAATACAAATTTATATAATTTCAACATGAAGGGATACGTTTAATTTAACTTCTGAAAAATTTGTAAAACTTTCCCAATTGATTTTAAATTTGATCGTGTACATTTCAAAAACTTTAGGGATATTAGATAGGCACCGAGGCATCTTGCTTTAATTTCTTGGAAATTTGTGAAACGTTGTAAGCGCTAATTACTTTTTAATTAGGTTACGTACACATTTATAAAACTTCGAACCAGTTGAATGCCTTTGCGATACTCTTTAACTTGAACTTCTTCAAATTTATTATAGTTCAAAAACAGCAATAACTGTGGTAACACTTTTTCATTTAATTTCGTGAAAGTTTGTAAAATTCTTATAACTTAATTTCTCAAAAATGATTTTAATTTGATTTTCTATAAATTTGCAACACTTCAAAACAATTAAATGTTTTGACTGTGATTTTGAACTAGAATGCATGTAAATTTATAATAACTCAAAAATACTAATTTTTAAAAATAATTTTTTAAACCTTAAAAATACTAATTGTTCAAGAATGAAACTGTGCAAAAACAAATTACTTCCAGTACAAATAAATTTATAAAACCTCGAAAACAGTAACTCGATCCGTAACTTCATTAAAAATAAAACTTCGACCTAATTGTTTTTTAATTCGATCGCATGTTGGTTTGTAAAACTTCGAAATTGCTGCAGCAAACCTTTCTCCTCTGATTGCGTGTAAATTTTGCAAAATTTCGATGCAACCAATCGCTTAGACAATGTTTCTTGATTTAATTGTGTGAAAAGTTGTGGAACTTCGAAGAAACCAATCGCTTTGTCTGAGGACCGAGTTTAATGGTTGCAGTTTCGATGGCCAATCTTGGTGTTCCAGTTTGGTAACTTGGTCTCGAATGCGCACTGTGCTAACACTGATAATGCATTTTCGTCGTTTAGGAGTAGTATTGTTAATAACGATGCACGTTCCTAATTGCTTTGCTGTATGATTAATGATGGATACAAACTTATGAAACATTGCTTTCGATTCACCTTTGAATCTCCTATCAATTTCTCCTAAAATCAAAGTCCTGTGAATTTATCTATTTTATATGATTTTCATTCTCTGCAAATTTTTTGAATTTCTCAAAAATACTCTATTATAACAATAATTTTACACGCTGTGCACATATACTCGCACCATGAAAGTATTAAAAAAATATTTTTAAGAAAGTTATTTAATATAAAGGATATTAATTTTTATCCTAGTGAAGAAATGGAAAATTGCAGATCAAGTTAACTTCTTTAATATGAAATAATTTTTTTAATTCTATAAAGATTGATATTAAATAAAAATATTTTGTAAGAAAGATATTAAAACACAACGAAATATTTTACATTAAAAAATAAGATATTTCGTGTAAAAATAAAGAATCTCACGAATTCTGCTAACATAGCACCTTTATACTTTTTTCTCGTAAAATATTCTGCAATATCGATCTAGGCGAAAGTACACGGTTCTAGATAAGAAAAATGCTGGTGTTCATTGTGTAAATGAAACTGCATATTTTTCCGCGCAGATTCTTCGTAACATTTTTCATAAAAAATTAAAATAGATGTCTGGTAACTGCAGATGAAATTGACTGTGTATACTTCGTGTTAGCCTGTTCAAGCTCGCAACAAAAACACCGTCCATCACGCTCTAAATATCTTCAATCTACCGAAGTTTCTACGGTGTCGAAGTCCGACTACAAAATGCGAGCCAACAGTTTCGAAGAATCTTCTCGCCGAATAGCAGAATCTTAGTGAATGCGCATCGAAAAACAAGCCGACAAGATAGACTCGAGAACGGCCGGTATCCGGAAAGTTTCTGGAGATCGACACGGGAGAAAGGTCGAAAGTTAACCATTTCGACTGGAACTTTCGACTTCGATACGAGACCATGAGAGCTCGGCAAGTCTGCCAAGCTTTTATCAGACACGATCGACCGGTTCGATTTCCAAGCGAAATTTATGTTTCCCGATCGGAAGCTTCGGTCCAGCTACCTCCTCTAATTCGACAGAGATAAATCACGCGAGATAAACTACGAGTTTTCACGATCGAAATGTTAATGAGAACGTTTCGGCTGCCTTAAAGCCTGGCTGATAAATAAAGAGTCGAAATAGGAACGGTGTGATTGCTAGAAATAATTGCTTCACATTTATCGTTGTTACTCGTTTGTTTCCACGAGCATTTTTTTTTTTTGGAAAAAGGGACAATGATGCTTGTATAGATATTTAATCTTCAATGAGCAAATAAAACCTTTCGTTATAATTAGAATAATAATACGTCTCTTCATATTACAAACTTTAATACTGTACTCATATCAGTACACTAGGAACACATGTGTACATTTAATGTTTTATAAAAGTCAATAAATGCAGTGTACTCCAATGAGTACACCGGGGTAAATGTGCTGAGATATACGGGTACATCATGGAATAAGTATGGTTGCAGTACACTTTTGATATACTGTCGATTCAGTAAATTATGAACATTGAATGTTGTGTATTATCACTACGCACTATGTATTATGTTACCGTCTTGTATCACAATAATGTGGTTAAATATTATATTACCACACGCTTAATTACTGTGCGTTACATCACCGCACGTTACATCACACATTATATCACTCTGTGTTATATCACCCCACGTTGAATTACTGTGCGTTGAATTATCACGCGTTGCGTAACAATACGTTGAAGTATTTTGTATTGTATCGCTACGCATTGTACCACCACGCGTTATATCACCACGCGCTGTATCGCCACAAATTGTACGACCATGCATTGAATTGCCACGCGTTGAATTACCAAGCGTTGAATAACCATGCGTTGAATAACCACGCGTTGAATAACCACGCGTTGAATAACCATGTGTTGAATAACCATGCGTTGAATTACCACGCGTTGAATAACCATGCGTTGAATAACCATGCGTTGAATAACCATGCGTTGAATAACCATGCGTTGAATAACCATGCGTTGAAATACTTCACATTATATCGCCACGCATTGTATAATCATGCGTTATACCACCACGCATTGTATCGTCACGCGCAGTGTTACTATGCGTAGAATTACCAAGTGTTATATTACCACGATTTAAATTACAATGGGTTGTATGATCACGTGTTGGATTACTATGCGTTGAACCACCATGTGTTGGATTACTATCAATTTGCACGTCTTAAATTACCACACATTGTATTACCATGTGTTGGATTACCACGCGTTGTATCACCACGTGTGATCACACGTCATATTGCGACTTGTTGTATTACCGTGTGTTATATTATTACATGTTGTAATGTCAGGAATTCCACATTACACAGTATATCAAATGTGATATCACTATATGACACGTTATTGTCACATGTAGTTTCTATCAGACAAAACATAAGAATAAGATTTGAAATACTGTGTGCTATGTTATTAATACCAATGATACATATGTGAGTCAAAAGCACTGAATTTAATATCAGATAGAAAATTTAAGTTCGCTGTCTTTGATAAGTTTAAATACTATCATAAGTACGTAAGTGTACAATCAACCACGACCTCAAAATCTAAACAAAAAAGTCGATACGTTTAAAAATTTAAAATTATACTAATTTCTATAAATCGTCCATACCTAAAGTTCAGCGAAATTGTATAACACAAATATAAAATCTGAAATGTTGCTAATTAATTAAACCAATGGGCTTCAAAGAAATTATTAAATGAATTCCGGAAAAATTATTACGAAACATAAAAAGCATTTCCATTATTTAAATGCAACGATGATAAGCAGGCGAACGTAATTAGCTAGAAATATAAAACTATTCTTAATTCCTTTGTGAGCTGGCAGAGGTACGCATACTGGCGTAAATTAGGCGCGTGATATTATGCAGATGCTTGCAAACGCGAAAGAGTATCCTTTAACGAAGCCACATTCTGTAATTCGTACAAATGTATAAAGAACGTTTAATAGTATACAACAGTTCACTTTCATTTTGCTGCCAGGCATTTAAACTTTCTAACGAAATGAAAATCACTGATACACTGGAATAATCTTTTTTATAAACCTATTTACCCTTTTGCTTTCTTCGTTACAAAATTTTGTGTTTTATCAAACAATACGCTGCATTTTTTTTTATTTGTAATCAACAATGTTTTGCCACTTTAATAATTTTCAAAAATGAATTTCTGATTTAACTTTTATATTTTATATTTTTAAAGTTGACAAAATGTTTTTATTATTTTTATACTGCTATTGTTCGTAAAAGTTCAAACAATACATTATTTTTTTCAAGCTAAAAAAAGTAATGCACGGATGACAGGTTTTGAATCATTACTTTCTACAAATAAAAATGTTACACGTTAATAGAATGTCTCGTAATGTAACACAAATTTTTGTGACAGAAAATAATTATAAGATCTCAATTTTGAAATAACCAGACTTCAATCGTAGCGTGGCTTGTGACCTAATCAGATTGACTTCTAACCTAAATCGTATTAGGAACGTACAAACCGACGTTTTCGCCAATAAAACGGAGCAAAATCGAGAAAATCAACAAAGAAACAAAAGAATTATCCTGGGAAGGGAGAAGTCTGTCGAAGATTTGCACAGAGCCACCTGTCCATTCGATTCTCGTGTCAAGCCTCTCGGTGTACATGTACCCGTAGGTACATTTGGAAAAGGCGAGCAGGTTTCGAAAAGGTAACGAACTTCCGGAATTAGAACAGTGTTCAGTAGAAATAAGGTCGACCGAACGAGACTCGTGTTAGGCAAAAATTTTGCAATAAAAAAGTTCAGCGAAATTAGTCTGCGGTACACGTTGCAGCTTCCCCGTTCGTTTCAACCTTTTCAAAAGCGATTAATCGCCATAAAAAAAGAGCAGAAATATAGTACACGCTCCAATAAAAATTCTACACAGGGTATCACCAGTGAGCATAGAAACGTGCACACGTCGATGTAACGTACGTACATTTTCGTTTCTCAATGAAACACGTTCCACTTTTCCAATCACAACATACGATCGAATTTAACCCTTTTATTACAGATTTGACCGATGGAGATTTTTCGAACAGTACGGATTTCCGTCACTGGTTCATATATTTCACCGAAAGGAGATGGTATAGGTTAAATTGTATTAACATTTAGAGTATGTTAGAAACGTAGATGGTTTAAGAGAGAGGTTCATTTCGTACAGGAAACTGAAGGCACACAATCGTCGATACGAAGAAACTACGTCGAAATGAAAATGCTGCACTTACGACCGATGCAACAGACTACTGCTTCATCAGTTTCACGAACGTTTCTCGACACCGAAAATTTTTCGAGAAAGGCATCACTAGCATAAAACGTACCTCGTCGTGTGAAATCCCAGAAACGCATCCGATGCTCCGTTAACAATACGTTCACGTAAACCAATTGACACAGTGCACGTTCGTCCGAGTTACATGTGCTCGACGCACCGTTCGATCACTCGATTCATAAAGGAACGAGTAAAAAAAACGCACGACAAACCGGAATAAACAGAACGAAGCACATGTAAGTTAGCACAGTAAAATAAAGTAACGATGAAAACGTACTCGTATCTCGGGGTGGTTGCCACTTGTTAGGTAGCAGTCGGATGCGACACGCATCAATCACGTTTGAGCATCGTTGGGTTGTTCGGCTCCGTTCAGCGTCTTGCACTCGCGCACGCACGCTCGACGGATCAACAGAGGATCGCACGACGGTTTCGCGCGGCGACGACGACGACGAGCACGACGACGATGGCGAGGACGAGGGCGAGGACAACGAGGACGACGTCGACGCAGCAGGACGAGGATCATGACTCGTCTCTACCGTCCATAACGTCTTGCCTCGTCACGATTCCGTTTTCGAGTCTACCGTTTCCGGTTCATCGGAGTTCCCGACGAAACCGACGTGGACAACGGTCACGCTGGCAGCCGCGATTGCTTTCCACGGATACACTGTCGAGATCGCGAACGCTGCTCTCGAAGCGTGCGTCGGGCACGAAGCACTGTTTACATGCGAGCAGGGGCGCCATGGTCACTACCGCCTTCGGTCTAACGCGATCAGCAGCACTCTAAATTTCAGGCTGTTGTTGCCCCTCGCGCTCGCGTACCGCGTTCCAACACCGAGGGTTTTATTTATCATCGCGGGCAACCGTGTCCGTTCGACGGTTCATTCATCTTTGCGACATTATTCGCCTGCTCGTCGATCCTCTCTACGCGTACATCCCGTCTCGCACTGCTACCACCGTTCCTCTTCCTTTCTCTCCTATCCGCACGATCTTCGAATTCTCCTCGCTCTTTCTCTTTGTCTTATCCAACCCCCGCCACCGTTGTCCTGCCACTCTCACCCTCTCGCGCCACTCTCTCTCGTCCTCTCTCTCTCTCTCTCTCTCGTTCTCACGCGGTAACAGAAGCGACACGAGTGCTGCTCCCCGAGATTGTCCGACTCGTGCCAAAGCTCTCGTTAGACTAAGCGCCGATAGAACTAGCGCCACGCCCTCCGCGTAGGTGGCAGCACTGTCCACCTTCATCTCGACAACTTCCCACGAACTCCTTCCAAGCCCCTACCTTCTCTCTTCTGCTTAGGGGATGATGTTACCTTTCCTACCGCTCCAACCCCCTTCGCCGACTTGCTCATCCTTCGGTAGTTTACCCTTGCCCTCTTCTGTGCTACCCTCTTTGTCCTTCCTCTTTTTCTTCCCTCGTATTTACCTACGTGCCTTGCACCCTGTTTCATCCTACCACCACCATCCACGTTCTATGCGAAATGTTACTCTTTTTTCGATCTTTACAGTCTACCTGTTTTCCAACTTCGTGCGCGACATTTTTTATCTCTTTCTGTATTAAAGAGCGATGGTGTACCCTCGACGCTGTTTAATTAAACAATGGAAATAAATGAAGTTTGTGTGCCGAAGATACGAATGGTTTTTGTTTATCAAATTTTCGTCGATTGTCGGTGGAAATAAATGCAATTTATAAACAGAATTTTGTTTATCATAATATCGTTTATTGATATGAGACGTTAAAAACTTGTTGCTTGTAGAAGCTGCGAATAATTGTACTGATTTCCATTCCATATTTGCTAATATTGACTTTCTGCATAAATACTTTGTGAACATAAAGCAGTTTTTTAAAGAATAATACGGCCTTCTCTATTTTCACCCTTCTGTTGATAAGCCATATTAAAACTTCTGATAATTATAAATAATTGTAGTAATGTTTTTATCGATGTTCACAGACGAGATTGTTTTACTAACATTGCATTTTATGTACTACTACATATATTTAATAAATATATATCTGTTTCATAATCTATATCATAAACTCCCTTTGTACCTTTTTAATAAAAAATTATACTTGCTCCCAAATTTGTGGTTATCTTCATAGATTTTAATTAATAATCAACTGCATGTAAGTTCATATAACCCGAACTATCTTTCAGCAATGTTCGTTCTTTTAGGTCGAGTTTCTTATAATTTGAAATTTGAAGTATTATGGTAATTCAACGTTATCGCGTGCTGTTACAATTCAAATCGAATGTAAATTGATCTGAACTCGATATTATTATGTTCGTAATTGTATGTAGTTCCTCTGTACACGTTTGTATTTCAATTGTAAGGTATAAGTTAATTCAATCCGTTTACTATCAGTATTCATATTTCAATAAAATATGCATACTTCATTACCACAAAATTTGCAGTAAAATGAATGCAAATGAAACTGGTATTGACGCAATTGAAAAATTTGGAGAATTTTTTGGAAATGAGAGTTTAGATGTTTAAGAAAGTGAGAATTTTGGAATTTTGGGAATTTGAGGTCTGAGGGATTTGGAAATTTCAGAGTTTAGGAAATTGAGAATTTGGGGATTTGGGGAGGGGATTTGGGGATTTGGGGATTTGGGGATTTGGGGATTTGGGGATTTGGGGATTTGGGGATTTGGGGATTTGGGGATTTGGGGATTTGGGGATTTGGGGATTTGGGGATTTGGGGATTTGGGGATTTGGGGATTTGGGGATTTGGGGATTTGGGGATTTGGGGATTTGGGGATTTGGGGATTTGGGGATTTGGGGATTTGGGGATTTGGGGATTTGGGGATTTGGGGATTTGGGGATTTGGGGATTTGGGGATTTGGGGATTTGGGGATTTGGGGATTTGGGGATTTGGGGATTTGGGGATTTGTGGATTTGTGGATTTGGGGATTTGGAGATTTGTGGATTTGAGATTGGAGATATTAGGAATTTTGAAATTTCAGAATTTGGGGATTTGGGGATTTGGAGATATTAGGAATTTTGAAATTTCAGAATTTGGGGATTTGGGGATTTGGAGATATTAGGAATTTTGAAATTTCAGAATTTGGGGATTTGGGGATTTGGAGATATTAGGAATTTGGAAATTTCAGAATTTGGGGATTTGGGGGTTTGGGGATTTGTGAATCTGTGGATCTGTGGATCTGTGGATTTGGGGATTTGGGGATTTGGAAATTTGAGGATTTGGGGATTTGGGAATTTGGGGATTTGGGGATTTGGGGATTTGTGGATCTGTGGATTTGGAGATTTGGAGATTTGGAGATTTGGGAATTTGGAGATTTGGGGACTTAAGTACTCGAAGATCTGGTGATTTAGGTTTTTAGGGATTTCACAATTTCTACATTTCTACATTTGAATGATTAGAAATGCATGAACTTGTAACTCGAAGAATTTTGCAAATTTTAAAAGTTTACAAATTTGGTAACATACAAATTTTTATTTATAATTATATAGTCAATAACTAAAAAAAAATGGCTTAAAAATTGAATAGAAATGCATATAAAATGAACAGAAATAAAACTCTTTGCTGATTAAATTCATGTTGCCTGCTAGACATGCTGCACCTATTCCCCTAATTATATTTCCCTTTTTGCCGAAAAATAATTAATGCACCTCACGTTCCTTGCTGAACACGTCTATACTTAATAGCCCTTCATTGCTATGTTTGTATATACCTGCACCCTACTTTTGTCCCTCATTCACGCCCTTCTTTCGATCCATCTCTGTTTACATGTATTGCTACCAGGTCTGTATTTAACGACAGAGAATTGAACTATAATGTTGATCTCTACCTTTGGGAGCTTCTCATACTTCAAAGAAACGCAAAAGGAATTAACTAAGTTTAACTCCGTTATACTTTTGCATATCAATTTACATATTAATGCAAATTGTGAAATTTTAACCGTAACTTATTATAAAATAAACTTCGTTTCATGTAAACGCTAATTAACCCCAATTTCCTTTTTTTATACGAAGAGAACCTGTGCTGAGTTAATAGCCCCGGGCCACCAAGAACTTTAATCCGGCCATGCTCGCTACACTTTCTGCCATTATTTTCCCAATGGATTCTTGTGTTCACGTTTTTCACTGTCATGCATCGTATATTTCCTTCATCGAATCTTGCAAAATTCTATTATCTTTCATAGAATTTTCAGGAAAATTCGCATACATCGCAGCTTGAAATTGCTGCATCAGTATCATAGATTATCACATTTTCGCAGTTCTTAAAGTGCATGGTGCAGTTTGTTTCGAAGATGGAAATAAAAGATGAAATTATATATATTCTTTGTGGTCTGTAAAAGTATTTGATCGTATAGGATGTCTCATAACTAGTATTACTCCCTGAAAGAGGTGGTAAAGGATGTGATTCTGAACTAGATTTTCCTTTGCAAAAACATTCTCTACCACACCTTTCAGGGAGTAACACCAGGTACGAAACACCCTGTATAAATAAACATGCTTCTATAGTTAACATATATCTTTTTATACTATCTTGAATTTAAGCTTCTCGCAAATCATCATTTAATGTGTAATAAAGACTTTTATATTTCAATAGTTCTGTTTCATTGCTTTAATTCATTGGACATCGTCACGCGAGCTTCTGGCTATCAGACAATCGTGATATAGGAAGAATGAGATATATTTGCTATCATTCTTATCATATCGCTCCGTGAAATCGTTTTATTCCCTGGAAAATGCTGATAATTCTTCACACCAAACGTCTTCATTAACTTTTGGACGAGTTTCTGTCTCGTTAACACTTCGTCTGTATGTTAAATTTAGAATGTATACGTTGTACGAATTTATACGATGCATTTAAATTTAGAATAAATATGTAAGGAATATAGAATGAATTTTCATATTGCATTATTTTATATCGGTACAAAAATTAATGTACATTTCAACTAAAGTGCTTTAACTTTATAATTCAAAATCACTGTAAATGATTTTGAGGGATTTAGTAATTCTACAGCAATCAATAATGTATCAATTATTATTCGAATCTATTGTTGTACTGGGTCATATTTGTATGAACGCTTATAAAATTTATAAGCATTAATATATTTGCATCTCACCCCATTTCGAAATCTGTATCCGTAAATGTGCCGTTCCTGGATGGAATTAATTTTGCAATTTTTAATTCATTTTTCAACACATCAATGTTAATGTAAATTCATTT